ATTGCAGAGAGTGGTCAAGAGGGTCAAATATCACTGAGAGGTTAAGGAAAATGAGGATTAAAAATGTGTGTTAGATACATCAATATCATGGTCCCCAGTGACTCAAGCCATTGCAATTTTCAAAGGGCTAATGATAGTAAGATGCCAAGCACAATGACTGGCACATAGTCAGCCCTCAACAACGTCAGCAGACTTTCTTTTAAAATTTGTAAGTCTCATATTCTTCTATTCTATTGAAGAAGAAAAAAAAGAAGATACAGACTAACATTTAACAGGAAAGCCTAAGATGAAACTCAGAGACTTATCTAAAAGAAAGGCCTGGAAATTGTCCATAAAGGCTATGAAAGATGACAAAACCCTGAAAAAAAATAACATCGGGAAGGATTTCTGCATTCCTGGCACAGTTTGATGCCACCCTTTCTTGAGGCAGGAGACCCGCCCCAATCATCTGGGTGGGGCATCTCTGCTCGGGGTGACGCACATCCTTCTTCCCCTGCCTCCATGGAGGTGAGAACTGCCCTGGGAAGAAAGTCTCCTCATTTCAATAGGCTGGGCAGTCCAGGTTAACACGAACAGAGCCATCTGGCAGAAAGCACCCAGAGGACAAGCACCGAAAAATATGCTTGAAGGGACAGCAGAGCGACCAGGATTACAATGTAATGTCCGGCCTCAGGTCAGTAATGGGGAGGTATTAGTCATCTCTTCAGACCTCAGCTCCATTATTTTTGCCGGAAATGTGAGAACAGCTCTCACTAATAACGTGTGGAATCACTTCCAACTATTTGCCTTTCAAGTCAGCCTCCTCAGGTCGGGTGACATATCTGGTTTAACAGGGGTGCCATTAGAGGGAAGATTTAACGTGCGGCTAAAAGCATTTGTAGCAGGAGCTGTGGGTGGGTTCCTTTTTAAGCTCCTGTGGCTGGTAACTTGCGCCTCTCCCCTCCATGCTGTTGGGTTTTGTTATTGAAGCCTTTTTCTTTTCTGAAGGAGGTTGGTCATTAACTCTCCCCTGCCCAGAACATCCCCTGGCAGGGACAGGGCAGCTCAGGAACTGAACTGGAAATCTCTCCTACATCATCAAGCCTCAGCAGGCTGGCATGACGACTCCAGGCATCTTGCCATCCTCCGTCACTGCCCCTCACCCAGATCAGGTGCCCTGATGTCTCCTTACACTGTTTTGCAGAAATAACTACAGTATAGCCTTGCAAATGGAGCCTCAAATCTATCAACCCCCAGAATTTGTATATCAACCAACACTGTGAGTCTGCCTCTTCCCACGCCTTGAGGGCCAACAGGCTACTAGCACAGCAGGAAGAAGGCTGGGGCTTTAGAAGAGAAACTTGTCATTTTATAGAAACTTCCTGGGTTTTTTTGTGTTTTTTTGTTTTGTTTTGTTTTTTTACTGAAATTTTTTTGCCCCTGAAGACTGGAGTTCTTTAAGGCTCTGCTTGAGCCCCCTAAATCTTTGTCCCATAGTCCTAACTCAAGCCTCAGATTTTTCGTCTGCAAGGCAGAGAGAGTAACAGCCACTTATCAAATAAGAGGCTACAGTTAAAAGCAAAGAGCACGGGCTTTGCACATGGGAGGGACTCAATAAGCACATACTAGTTACATCTTTTTCAGTGACAGAAACCCCAACCAAAGAGACTAAATAAAGAGGAAATGTATTGATTGGACAAGTGACAAACCCCTGGGCTAGGCCTGGCTTTGGACACCTGTAGTGTGGCTCAAAACTGTCTCCAGGACCAGCTTTCTTTTTCACCACCCCTTAGCTGGGTTTCTTATGTCCTGGCTCCATGTCATGCAAGACCTGGTGGCAGCAAGATGGCAGCACCTGCACCACGATGACAGCTTCACATCTCAAGCCCAGTAAAGAACAGGGTTGCTTTTCCCCATCACCATTCACTTAGGTCCTAAGCCAGAGGCTCACTGGATGAGTTGGGTCACATGCTCACCCCTGAGTCAATCACCATGCTTAGAGCTTGGTTTAACCCTGAGTCTCAAACTCTACCTGGAAAGGAAGGAGGGAGAGAGGAACTGAGAGTTGCATAAAAGATGTTTCTCCAAAAGAAATGTATAATGCCAATGCAAAAAAGAAAATAAAAGTGGTCATGGAGGAGGTTAGGTACCCAAACATAGAACCATCTGCTGCAAATAATTATTTCCAGGATTGTGGAAGATAAGGGTAATTTGACAGTTATGTATAATGACAATATTCAATCAAGAAAAGCTCACACAGAGTCTCCACAACCTTTATACAAATTACACTCTTCTCCATGTTAGTAATATGATGATAATTCTACTAGAGTTACTTACTATACAACTCTGTCATTTCCATTGCAACTGAGCTCCTAAAGGTTGAAGACTGGGTTTTGTTCTATTTTTTGCTTTTGTTTTTGATTTTGTTGGGGGCGGGGGTTGTACTGGAGATTGAACCCAGGGGTGCTTTACTGCTGAACTACATCCCCATTTTATTTTGAGACAGAGCCTTGCTAAGTTGCTGAAAGTGGGCTTGAATTTGTGATCCTCCTGCCTCAGCCTCCAGAGTCAATGGGATTACTGATGTGCACCACCACATCCAGCTGAAGCCCGGGTCTTACTCACCTCCACATCCTGCACGGCACCAAGACTTACTGGAAAATCTAGGTGATTCCAAATCCACACTGGCTCCTTGTGTCCAGCTCAGTTCTGGGACATCTTTTTTGGGTTACAAATTACAAGTAATAGAAAGCCCCCAACCAGCCAGGCATGGTGGTGCTCCACTACAGTTCCCCTACTGGTGAAAGGGAGGACTCCAGTGCCCTCCTAGTCCCAGTTAAGGCAGTGACTCAGGAGATTGAGTTGGGAGGACTGCAAATTTGAGGCCAGCCTCAGCAATTTAGCAAGACCCGAACAACTTATTAAGACTCTATCTCAAAATAAAAAATAAAAGGGCCAGGGGATGTGGCTCAGTGGTTAAGTGCCCCTTGGTTAAATTCCTAGTACAAAAAAAAAAAAAAAAAGAAAAAGAAGGAAACTCTAATCAAAGTAAGTAAAATAAAAGTGGAACTTATTGGGTTGGCCCTTCCCTTCCCCTGATCATTTTATTTGCTTGGAACTAGACTGGCAGAGGCTGGAGGACTGGATGAAGACTAAGGTAAAATGTTGCCTGAAGCCTCTGCTGGCATCTGCCTCTGTTAGAGGTCTCTCATATTGTATCACAGTTTGTTTACCTGATTCCCCACCATAAAGGAAATCTCTGGGAACAGTGGGTTCTTATCTTTTCAGCTTTGTTATCTTTGGTGCCTAGAACAGTACTTGGGTTAGAGAAAACATGAGGCAACTGCTCTAGATCTCATGATCATCCCCAGATCCTCAAAAAACATCCCCATCTATGAGAGCTACAGAAAGGGAAGGTATGGTACCCAGCCACAGGAGGGGTTAGAGAAGTAGAGGGGGTATGAAAAACACTTAAATAGAAGGGACAGTGAAGCTCAGTGCTATCTCTTATTCTCTATCAAGTCAGAGCAGATGTAGAAATGATACAGGAAGCCCGACAACCTACAGAAGGCAGACTGAGTTAGTGGAACTTCAGGGTACAGTTGCTACCCATAGAAAATGGAAGACAAATGATTAGCAGAGGCTGGCAGCAGAGACCCTCAAAGGCAGATAGACAACATATTCCTGGTTCCGGACAATAAACCCCAACAAAGAATGCATGACCTTGATAGTATAAGGAAGCCAAGAGGAATAGGGTAGCTTGCTGGGATAGGAGTGGGAAAAGGCCAAGGAGAAGGCCAGTATCTCAGTGGATAAGATCACAGCTCTGGGGCTGGAACACTGATTAAGAAACTAAGTCAGAGTCCCAGTAGTGTGACCACCGGAACCACTTCCATAATGATTAAGGGAATGGTGTTTGCTGCAGACAGACTAGATCCCCCATCTGTGGGCAAACATCTGAGTGCAGCATTCCTCCTACTGGTAAGAGGGAGGAGTCCAGTGCCCTCCTAGCCCCAGTTAAGGCAGCTCTGTAACTGGGTGGGGCTGAGCTTGTGAGAAAAGTGGGACTCACAGGCTGGGCCATGTGAGCGAAATTTCTTGGCAGATTCCCAGGCTGAGTGTGTATCTAAGGCCAAAGGCTGAGCCATTGCCAGCCCCATCTGACCTCATGGATCCCCCTCGCCAACAAGCAGCAAGAGCAGCAGACTCCCGAGGCTCCCTCAGCTTTGAAGAGAGCTCTGCAAACAAAACTCAGTTTTTGGGGGTTAATCCACAGGCCCAGGAGGAGGCAGTGGGCCTCCTCTGAAGGGCAGAGCCAGCAAGTGGGCTAAGACTAAAGGAAAGGCACGAGACTGCCGGCCTGAGATTGGTTTGGCAGCAGCTCCAAAGAGCAGCCCTTCAATCGCCTTGATTGTCTGAGCCCTCAAAAGCTCTGGCTGCCTCCCACCAGCCCAGCTAATGGGGCTGAGCAGCCTGGGCCACGACCTCTGTCTACTAGGCTGATGGTTTACTGCTCTGAATCTCACTTTCCCAGCAATGGAGGACCAAGGACTCTGCCTAGTTTAAGTGTACCATGTCTTGGCAATTTTGTTCAGCACCTACTATGTGCACAGAATCACACCTCCCCATTCCCTGCCTCCTGCTAGTCCCACCAGCATGCTCAAACAGCCCTTTGACCGGTTACTGATTTGGGCTGGTATCTGTGCCTGGTGGGGGGTACCCCAGAGTATATGTCCAGCAGGAGATTGGCAAGGGGCGGGGGGCATAATCTGGTCTTTTCACAAAGCCCAGGGTCCTAAATCTGCTTTCTCCTGCCCTAGAGCAGCAGAAGAATGGAATCTGCACGGAGTCCTACCTGGTAGATAAGGCACGAACTCAGGGCCAACCCCCTGGGAAGGAACTGAGAATGAAATAACGCTGTTTGCCAAAGAGCAGGGCTGGGCTCTGGTTTCTTAGGGTTCTGAATCTCTAGAAAGAGAAGGATCTCGGTTGCCAGGCGGCAGCACCTCCCACCTCTTCTACCCCAACCCTTCCTGCCCTTCCTTCCTTGCATTTTTGGACCCCGGTGAGGACCCCAGTAAATCTCTGCAAGGCTTGCCGAGCCCGGAAAGCGGGACGTGGACACGGTCTGGCAGGCTGAGGCGGCCAGGGTGTGGGCGTGGAGGTGCTGGGAGCCAGCGGCCTCGGTTTGCTGCGGCTGTCCCTGCGGACCTCAGCGAGCGAGGGAGAGAGGCGCTGGAAAACAAGGGAGATGGAGAGCGAGCAGGAAGAGAGCGAGGCTCCTCAGTCCTTCGCAAGCCAAAGGCGGCTCCGCCGGTTCTCCTAACCGGGCCGTGGCACTGGCCGACTGTCCCGAAACCGCTCCCCCGGACCCCTCGGCCTGACACTCAGGACCCTCGGATGGCGGCGGCGGGCCGGGCGCGCGCTGGTCACCGGCCCACGGTTCCAGAGCCCGCTGCAGCCGCCGCGGCCAGCCACCGCTGCTTCCCGCCTTAATGAGCACTCGGTTTAGCGGCTGCCATCGTTTCTGATGCCTTCGCTGGAAGCAGGGGAAGCGGGGAGGGTCCCCCTAACCACCACCCTCGCCTGGCCCGCCCTGCCCGCACCGCGCTGCTGTTTGGTGCAGGTGCGCAGCCCAACCCAGTCCCTCTCCATCCTGCTTCCCAGGCCCTCCCGCAGCCCGGGGCGGCTCCCGCCTTCCTTCAGGGTCTGAGCCACAGTTCCACCCCAAACCCACTCCAGGAAGAGGCTAGAAGCGGCCGACCGCAACGCAGAAGCGGGAAGATCGGGGGCGGGAGGAGGCAAGGCTGAAGAAAGGGAGATGGACAGGGGACCCGCAGCACACTCCTGCACCGCGAGCGGTAAGGAGCTAACCCCAGCCTTCCCCGCGTATGTCCCTGCAAACCACAACTGAAAATACCATCAGGAATTCCCGAACGGAAGGCCCTGCTCCCCTCCCACCACATGCTCATCGCAGGCCCAGATGGCTCAGCTGAACCCCCAAGCCAGTTGTAACCCTGCCCCCAACTCCTCCCCTTGGCCTTGAGCAGTGGCCTCTTGTGTCCTTATTGAGAACCATCTTTCAAATTTGGTGGGCTTGCCTCCTCAGTGCTCAGAGAGCCCAGCAGGTGGAGATGGGTGATACTGGGCTAGGGGTACTTAGCTATCCCCTTTTGGACCAGAATGGACAAATATTACGTCAAGCTTGCGAACAACGCAGGTTCTAAACCAATGAGCTATCCCCGCTGGCATAAGCTCCTCTGAGGAATCAAAATGTCACCTAGGTGACCCAAACCAGGTCTCCCTTGCTCTTCGGGAAGGACCCTGGGCACCCCATCTTTAATTTCACTGCCTTATCCTTGAAAGCAGTGCACCACACCCCAGCAACTCTCCACCCCTAGGACTTACCTGATCACTCCAGTCAACCCTGACTTTCCTCTCCACTGAAACTGTGCGCTTAAAAGCTGCTGCCCACAATCCCATACTTGGAAGAGTCTGGCTTTGTTCTCCAATGGTTTCAAATGCCTATGTTTGACTCCCCCCATGAAGACAAGGTCATCACAAGCAGTAACTACTGCTTTTCTTGTTTTGATTCCCACAGAGCTGAGCATAGATTGATGTAGCATAAGTGCTCAATAAATGCTCTTGGACTTGGCTAATGGATAGACAGCCTCGCAGGGCAGGTCTGCCACATCCAGAGAGAAAGGTGCCCTTTCTGTCCTCTGCCCTAACTGGGGAACTCTAGGTCCTGTGTTCTGGGGGTGTCTCAGAAGCAGCAGAATTTGGCTCTCCCTTTGTCCTTCCTTGCTTCCAGCCCCCTTGGCCTTCAGGATTCCTGTGGGTTTGAAGAGGCCGATGCTTGTGGCTCTTACCAACATCAATTTGCAGTCGCCAGGATGCAACTTCACCCTATGCTGCGTTCATAAATTAATCTCCGGGGATTAGATTCTGTGTTTTAGTAACACTCCTGAGGCATTGTATTTACACATTAATAATAAAAGAAAAAAGTGAGACAAGTTCTGACAACTTTCAATAACATTCAGAAATAAAGTGTGAGGTGTGGAAGTGTCCAAAGTTAATTAAGACCATTTGGTGCTGATGGGGGTGGGGGTGGTGCCTTCCATTCTCAGACAGGTGCTATTTTGAAACCCAGTTTCCCTGTCCACAATATACCTGATGCCTGCAGAAAAGGAGATGCTGAAATAAACTGAACTAGCAGCATGAAGTGGAACTTTTGTTTTGTGTTACAGAGTTGTGGATACTTTGCCAGAATTTGTGGAGGGTCTATAGGAAGAAAGAACCCTTTGGCCCTGCCCTGCAGTGAGCAGATGGTGTGTCCAGACTGTTCATAACCACTTCTGACAAGAGGGGTTCTGAAAGAAATTAAGGGGTGCCCTTTCCCTTGGGGATGGACTAGCACCTCACCTTTCCACTCTAAAGGACTTCTAGACATTTAGCTAGGTCTTCATCCCAGAACTGGGAGAATAACTGCTCCATACCTGAAACAAAGAGTCTCTAGGCAGGTCCCAAACACAGGTTATGGAATACAAAGGAGCCTCCCTGCCGAATATTTTGTATCATTATTGCACAAGTACCTGCAAATGCTTCGTGGTTTTTTATTCATTTCCATTTTAACTATTCTCAATTTTAGAGTGGCCTCTTTAAAATATGAAAGGTCTTTCTCTAGGGAATTAGAAGAGGTGGAGGGAGAAGGAATTTTTTTTGTTGTTTCTTTCTTTCTTGAGCCCACATAGATCATATCAGATATGACAGGATACAGGGAAACTTAGAAGGAATGTTCTGGGTACTATAAGTGTGGCTGCTCCCAGTTGTATATTCTCAGAGATTTTTTTTTTCACATTCCCCAGAGTGCTTTGTATTTTGTTTATATAAGGGACAAATGAATTCCTTCCCAATTCCTGGGATTTTTCTTGATTTTTATATTGGGAGTAAAGGAATGAAGTTGGCAGCACTAGTCTTGTCAGCTGCATCCTAAATTGTATCTAATCCTAACACATCCCTCTCAATCTTTAATTGAATCTGTTCATCTAAAAGAAAAAAGATACCAGGGTAAAATAGAAAGAGGTGTGTGGAAGAAAAAATGACCATCATGTTCCCATCACAGCCTGAGATTTCCAGCCTCAATAAGATTTTCAGTGGGTAACCCTAGATCTTGTTTGCTATCTTGGACTTCTTGCTCTTGGTTCCAATAGAAGACTTCCAAGTAGCTAGATAGATTTCATCTCTCTTTTGAAGCATGAGGAACAAATACATTTCATAAGGAAAATGAGGCTGGATCTAGCCAGGTGCTTTTATTATACCATTCATCTCTACCTTCTAACCAAGCAGCAAATTCAAAATAAAAAGAAACACCACATAGGCAAAAACCTTCACAATACAACTGATTCGGTCCTTCGGTGTGGCCTCATAGAAACTGATCCCTCTTCCAAGCCTTCTGGTTGTCACAGTTGTATGCTTGTTTGTTCCAGATTTTAAGGAAAGCATTATGAATTCTTCAGATGAAGGTGAGATGCAGCTGTCCATGGCTAACTTGATAGAGAAAGGAGAAAAACTCAGGAAATGCAAAGGAAGACTGATCAGCTGAACAGAAGCCACCTGCCCAGCAGGCTTGCCTGAGGAGTGCACAGGACCAAAAAGGACCTGGTTTCTCTTTAAAATCAAGATGGGCAAAACATTCATCTTGCTCACCTGAAGTGAACCAGGGTGGACCCGAGAAGGCAGGCAAAATCATGTTGTGACTGCACTATATACCTGTAAGCTGCCTACTAGTTTAAATTATACCAAGTAGCCCATTCATTCATTCTGAACAGCTCATAATAAGTGTAAGCAGTCTGTGATCCATTATGGAGAGAGGTTTCTGGAAAGAATAGAGGCAGTGGTACAAGTTCAAAGTTGTTAATTAAAGAGATGAATGCAACATACACCATCTTTTAGCTCTTGAGCAATGAGTACAGCTGCCAGGACCACATCTGTCTATGAAAACTAGAGAGGTTGACAGTGAGGAATCTCTTTGAAGCTATCCCATAACAAGACCTACTGTACGATGCAGCTTCTGAAACCCTGAGATCTCAAAGCCTGTCACTGGCTGTCCCACCACTCTCCTCCAGGATGGCTAGGCCCCAGCCCTTCAAAGACTCACTTCTCAGACTTCAGCATAATCATCTCTACCACACCCTCCATCTAGCAAGACCTGTATGTCTTGCCAGAAGGAAATAACTATGGAATTGAGTTCACTGGATTCTAGAATCCAGAATCTGGAGGCTTTCTAAACAAGCCCTTAAGAATTGCAGATTTTCTCATCATTTTCAGTTGATATAGATATTAAGCATGGGGGCTGGAGTAGACTGTCTGGACCTGACTCTTGTTTCCTTGGGTAAGTTACTTAACCTCTCAGCTGTGTGTCAGTTTCCTTATCTGTAAAGTGTGGTTAATAACAACTGACCTCCCAGATGTACAGTAAGGTTATTGTGATGATTAAATTAGTTGATTCATTAAAAATTGTTTAGAGGAGTGCCTGGAATTATTATTAATAGTAATAAGCTTAATTTAAGCCCTGCTTGCTAATAAGGAGCTGGACTGAATGCTTAAGATTCTCCTTCTTGGCCTTCTCTTCTCTGAACCAGGTGACCCCAAATTTTTCTTTACCTCTGCAGAATTTACCCTAGCCTGATAAGAAAAAGAAAACACACAAATATACAAACATACACACACAGCTTTCCTCCTCCACATAGAATTAATAGAGCTATTAGAGTATCTACCAACTGACCTTAGAGGGAGAAAAGGGTTTATTATAATTGATAGGTTTATATACTCAAAGCTCCTAATCTGGTTGCTATGAACCCCTGCCTTCTCCAGTCCTGCCCACCTATGGGAACTAAAGACCTTCAACCTGCAAGCTCAAGTTGCCCACTTCCTATCCTGTCCTGATGAAGCTCGGTCATTATTTGGGGCCCAAACCCATGTGCAGTTGAGAGTATGTCTTTAGTCTTGCTTAGTCCCAGTGGGCCAGAGCTAAACCTCAGGAGGCTCCTCAAGGCCCATTGAATTTAGCCTTTCTATCACAGCTGCATTCTGCCCAGTTCTAGACTTGCCCTTTAATCCTCTTCTGCACTGTTACCAGGCCCTCAACCCCTACCAATTTTAGAAACTTCCATTTTATCTGTCCAATACTAGTCTCTTTTCTAAATAAGTGAAGCATTCTCTTAATACCCAACACTTCCCTGATTCCTGGCTGGGATCATATTTGAAATGTCCAAAGTTCCACCAACACCTATATTAGAAATAATATGTCACCACCAACCTTTACCAAGACTATCACCTTCACTGGAGTCCTCCTGTGCTGAGCTGAACCTGTCAGCTTTCTCTGATTCACTAGGACACTGATTTGGATCACAGGACACCATCACTTGAGAGCCAGACTCATCACCGAGGTAGACTCCAATAGTCTTTATCCTGTCTGTAGTTAACTTCCTTCTCTTTCTCTATTGACCCATAGATTAAGATGCTACATGCTCTGGGGCCAATGCCTGGAAGTTTTGACAACTAAAAATCAAGTGTTATACATGCAATTTGCCTGAGCTCACCTACTTACTTAACATTTCCACTAGGATGCTTGCAAGACACATCAAATTCAGTAGTCTAAGACCAAACTCACTATCTTCTGCCCAAAACCATACCCCCATTCCACCCTGATGCCCCTCTAATTGGTTTTCCACACTGCAACCAGAGTGATCTTTTCAAAATGCAAATCTGTTCATCACACACATACACACTTCGAACCCTTCATTAGCTTCTCCTTCTTCTTAGGATGAAGGCCCAGAACCTTAGCAGGAGCTCCAGTCCTGAGTATATGGCCCTGGCTGCTTTCCATCCTGACCAAACCTCATTCCGCCCCTGTCTTGCTGTCCTCCAGCCACCAGCATCATGTTAGAATTTGGGTACTCTACAGGAGACGATAACAGTGCCCCATCTGGGCAGCCCAATTGGAAAAAGATGCCCTTTGCTCTAAGCTGATACAGTGTCTCCTGGGGCTGCAGCTTGGCAAGGGAACAGGGCTGGATTTCAGCTCCTTCTGCTTCTCCCGCCCAGCTGTGCACCTTTGTCCACAGCACAGCCTCCATGGCAGCCATGCCAGTCCCCCTGTCTTTTTTAGGTCCTCCCCAAATGCTCCATGCTCCCTTCTGCCATTTGGTTTTTGCTCAAACTATTTGCTCAGCCTGGGACATTCTAGCCCTCTCTTTTTATCCAGTGATCTCCTACTTAACCCACAGATCCCAGCACAAACATCACATCCTCAGGGAAGCCTTCCTGATCTTCCCAGTTTCCAACCATTCATCATGATTCCCTAGTAGCTGCTAATTCCTTTGTGATACTGTCTCATCAAACAATGCTCCCATTTCTCCCTCCTGATCTGCCTTTGAAGGCTAGCTCATTCGTGTAAATAATGTCTAGCTCCTTATTGTATTGTGAGCTCTATTAGAGCAGAGACCATTTCTCTCTCTCTCTCTCTCTCTCTCTCTCTCTCTCTCTCTCTCTCTCT